CAAAACCCACCGCCATTTTGAGAATGGAGGGAGAGAGAGAGAGAGAAGAGAGAGAGAGAGAGAAGAGGATAGAGTTTGAGACAAAGTTGGGAGCAGACCCAGAAACAAGACATAGATTTACTTTTCTCTATCCACCACACCCCAATTCGCTTCTTTCCTCCGTATAGGTAAATTCCCCTCTGTGTGTGTGTATATATCTTATGCATGCATATATCTTTTGCACCATGTTGTTAGAAGAAGAATAAACGTATGCCCGTTCTGAAAAATCTAGGTGGTTATTTATGGGACTCAACATTTCTTGAATTTCCATTTCAGTGAGCATGTGTGCATTTAGAATTGAATCCAATTAAAGTCAGTCCAAGTGGATTTAATTTCCAAATTACCTCCTAAAATGAATCCAATGAAAAAAAGTTTCCTTGTGAGGGAGGGGGCCTTCAATGGAGGGCGGACGCTGCGTGCCCTTTCGGGGCAAAGGCACTAAATAAATATTATATTATATATGGATACTTAATGGTTTTTGGTGAAACCGAAAGTAGATGCTATCAAAAACACTTTTGTCGGACTCAAAAGTGGACTGTTCTTAACTTGTGAAATAATATATGATTATAAGATACCAAAGCTTTAATATTGTTAATAACATGTGTTAAATTCATGAAAAATCTCAGAAGAATATCAGGGAAACGTAGAAAGCCATAATCTGCAGGAAGCGCAAGAGTGGATTGTCAGATTATTCAATTTTAGAAATGATGTAAATGGTAGAGCTGGTTGCGATTTGAGGTTGGTGAAAAATGGAAATTGAAGGGGGCGAACAAGCAACAAAGGCTGAGATATATCAGCGCCAAAAATGGAATAAAAACTGGATAATTCTTCTGAGATGTTTAATAGCAAGGCATAGTGGCCTTTGTCCTCAAATAAATAAATACATAAATACGGCTTGTTATGGGTAAATTATACAAGTATACTATATTTTTTTATCATATCACTTTCTACTTTTCTGCATATTTTTTTTATTATAAAAAGTTAAAATAGAAAAAAAAAAAACTATACTTATTTAGATCATCTAAAATAACTTTTTAATTTCAATTAATTAAGATTATTAGTCTAAAAAAAACTTTATTCAAAATAGTCTAGAATTTCAATTATTGATGGTATACTTATTTTTATAACATAGATTACCATAGGTAAATTCCCCTCTGTGCTATCTTCCTCTGTGTGTGTATACACAGCTTAAATTCCCTTATGTGCTGCTGTATGTATCTATTTTGTTATGATTCTTCGAGACGAATTCTCTTTGTTCTGATTTCTCTTCATTTGTACCGCTAGAAGTGGCCACCACCGCTTTCAACAACACGACCACAAGCGTAGTTTGATTTTCTCTTTCTCTCCCTTTCTCCTCTATCTCTATTTGTTTTTGTCTCTCCCAGATTCATAAAGGCCTAGCTGTGTTCACATTTTCTGGAGAGGAGAAAGGAAGTAAAAAAAGAGAGTTTAATTGAAGATAATAGGTTGACGATTTTTGGTATGAAGTTCACTGACTTCTTTGTTCAATTTCATGATATTTTTATTTATATGTGTATGATTTTCTTTGTTCAATCTCATTGATTTTTTTTTTCTTCTTTTTTTAGAAATGTTTTGAATGTTTGGTGCTTGTGAAATGCTCTATTTTGGTTTGCGAATTGGATTGTTTTACTATGAAGTTTTGAGTGGGGCTGTGGCAAAATTGAGGGCGTTTTTAGTTAAAGTGCTGATAAAGTTGGTTTTCACAATCCATTTTGGTTTGTTTTGTTTTGCTGTTGACAGTCACTGCAGTGGATAAGTGGAAGGGAGAGTTCTGCAGATTTCTAGGATTGGATGATGAGGAAAAGAGCTCTGTTGGCGGTTTGATTGTAAATGTGTGATTAATTTATTGTTATTACAAGTAAATTTAAGTTGATTGATTTACAAATAAATTTGATCTTTTAGCGCTTTGTTTGGGTTGGGTTTTTTTTTTCCAGGTTTGAAGGTGGATCTGATAATCACTTAACTTTTTAACGGTTTAATAAATTTTCTGAATTTGGAGTTATTGGGTTACTAATAAATTGGTGTATTGTATTCATTTTGGAATTTCAGATGTCTTTATTTTTTAGGAATTTTTTTCCTTCCTGTGAATTCACTCCACTACTCTTTGTAAAAGAAAAAATAAAAAGGCCAAAAAAATTTTTCATCGATTTTTAATTCAATTTTGGACCATAATGCATTCTTGAATAGGTCTTGTAGTTCATGGAAAAATTTTATTTTCCGTATGTCCAAAGGTTTATCATGGAATTCTTGGGGTTTGTTTTAGAATTTCATTAGAGGAAGCAGAGCCAATTCAAGATGATACTGTCAACCCTACCTTTACTATAGCAAATAACTTATTAAAAACAACACCTGTTTCACCATTTCCTAAGGTAGAGAGACAAAAGAGGGCTATTCCGTGGTTGTTAATGCGAGTGTTAAAAAGTTGATAATTTGTTTTGGTAAGGTTGATCTATTGCCTATAATCTCGATTGTTTATAAAGTCGAAAAACTGGATCGTGTATTTATAGTTTGATCGCAAAATTTTTAGCAACACATTAATAAATTACATTTTATTTTTAATTCATCATTAATTCTACCGTGCACTTCATGAGCCACAGGTTACACTATTTATAATAAGCAGAAAAGATTTTTTTGAAAATTTATCCAAAATGTCTAAAAAGATACCATTTGCTTAATGGTCTACATCAATGTTTAAACTATATATCAATGATTCAGATCAACCTCTTAAATATACCAAAACACATAGTTTCTTGCCCAAACACTCATCTCCTCTCTCTCGCACCCCAAGAATCAATTCCTCTGAATGTCTTAATGCCCCCCTCGGTCTCTTCAACTCCTCTAACTAAGTTCCTCTCTCACGTTCTTGTTCCTTCTACTGCCCAAAATGTATTATTGATCTCTCTCATCACCACATAATCTTCTTGAAATGTGTTGTAGCATAGAGAAAAGAGAGATAGTGGGTGTTGTGCTCTCCCCAATATCTAGGTCATTTTTTTATGGGTTTTTCACTCATCTCAGGGTTCATGTATGTATGTTATAGATCTGTGTTTTTTATTTTTGTTGATTGATTGTATTAAATTGATAGTAGCTTCCAACTGACTTTCTTGCAAACAATAATCTGGTTTTTATTTTTATTGATCTGATTGTTTTAATTGATAGGAAGCTTCTAGGAAAATTCTTTTTTTTTAGGGTTCTTTGTTTTCACTCATATCAGGGTTCATGCATCTAGATATGTGTTTAATTGATTGGTTACTTGATCAATGCTTTGGTGTTGAGTTTGAAAAGTTGAATAAATTTGTTTAAGATGAATTGGGTTGTTTACTTTATCTCTTGATTTGTCCCCTTTTTCCTGCTCTGTTTTTCTAGGGTATCCTTTGGGTTTACGCCACATTGGTGTGATGTATGTTGGATTTGTATTTTATTTTGTATCAAAGTTGATTTTTTTTTTTTTTTTTAGTATTTTGAAAATGAGTATTTCTCTCATTTTTCCATTCTTTATTATAACTAAATTTTGGGTGTTTGGCGTTGTTTTCCTTGCATTTTCCCTTTCTTTTGCGGATTTTGGGTTTTTTGGAATCGTACAAAGTCATCATTCTTTTTTGTTTATTTTCTACATATTAATGGTCATTCTTGAGGACTGCCTATTTTTCATCAGATTTTCTAATTTTATTTTTACTTTGCTAATCAAACAGCAAATGGTAAAACTGGTTGATGAAAAAGGATTTTTGAAGACTAAAAGAGTTGGCCTTGATATAAGAAAAGAGTGGTCTTCATAAAAAAGAGTTGAGTTGGTTGATTAGTGCGTTATTATACCCACAAAACGGGCCATTCTTAGGAGTCCCTTTTTTTTAAAAAAAATTTTTTGGTAACTAATGGATTACTTTGCGTAATCAAACAGCTAATTTGGTTAATTTTGAAAAGCGTTTGAAGAGAAAAGAGTTGGTCCTTCATAAAGAGTTGGTTGATTAGTGGTAATTATAACCCACAAACAAGGCATGTATCTTTCCTGGTGTGATGTCTTTCCTTTATATCTTTAGTCATGTTATGTTTCACTAGGATGTGTTATGCAGGGTTTTGAATTGGTGAAGTCTGAGCCACATTCTTTATGTTCTTTTATTTCTTTTTTCTTGGATATTATTTGCATTTTTCCTTTTCTTTCTTGGTGTATGTTTTCATATGACTTGTTGCTTTGGACCATTATTTATTTTCATTTGACTGTGAAGTCAATTTATCAGATTGCAAACACATAAAAAACTTCCGTCCTTTTGGGTTTGCTATCATAAACTTCTGACATGGCAATAAGCTTTGGAATCTAAAAGCATGATATATAAATTTAGCAAAAAAATCAATCAATAAATAAAAGGAATTGTAGACTGAGGTCATTTGATGCAAAAAAATTGTGTCCATTCATATTTTAGTCTGTAATTTTATAGATAGATTGTTTTAATTGTTCTGCGTCTAATTGCTGTAATTATGGACATTTCATGTTGAAAAGTTTTTGGTTTCTATTAATTTTATTTCCTTTCTTCTTCACTTATGTTGGTTGTTTTAATTTTGATACGCTTGGTTTATTAGTTGGTGCCCCGCTCTTTTTGGATTACATTAGCTCATTTTTTTAAATGATAGCTCCTCATATTGTGAAACTGAAGATATGCATGTTATAGCCAATTCAAAGGTTATCAAAGAGAGCTTTTTTCTTTGGTCAAAGTAAAATCTTTCTCTTGCGCTCTTTATGTCAGTTGATCTTCTACTATGTGATATATCATAGTTTTTCTTGAGTGGAGCCACATTGATGAACTTTGATAACTCTTTTGGCCCTATAATATAAATTGAATTGTAACTGTGTATTGAAATGTGTATATTGAAAATTTCTTGACTGTGGGGCGATTTCAAGATAAAAAAATTGTACCCATGTGTGCTCCCTACCACAGAGGCTGGTGTGTACTGAAATTTCTTTCCTGAGTTGGCATTATCTAAGTTTATACTTCAAAGAAATGTACCCATGTGTGCTCCCTCCCCTCTAAAACCCATTGTAAAAATCATAAAGCATTATTAAATTAACGCAGTGGAATAAAAATAATTCGTATCATACCTTAATGGACCAACCTCGTGGGTAAATCACGTATGCTTCCCAAAATCGATCAGTCAAACGAACAACCAAGTCACAGTTGCAAAATGCGCTTGAAATCGTTGTTTTCGGGAGAGAGTTAGAGAGAGCAGTATGAGAAAAAATGGATATGGGTTAAAAACCACAAAACGATATATCTGATTAACGTATATCTTAGATTAACACATAATTATCTGATACTATAACCAATATCTATTATCCATCTATCCATATCTATTGATATGCATAGATATCCATATCACTGAATGGTTATCCCAAGTTTGATTATGTGACTTTTTTCGATTTCAAACTCAAAACTTACATGGATAAGGTTCAAAAGGTTCTAAGGTCAGCCACATGGGCGCCCAATTTCTAACATCTCCTACTCGGACATGAGTTGCATGACATTGCCAACATTCTCTATCTCGATCTCCCCAAAAAATAAACAAATTCTCATACTGCCATACACCGGTGCGACTGCCTTGAGAAACCACCTGCATGTGGGAGCGCTTGATACTAGAAACTCAAAATGACCAGCATTAGAGATATTAACCCAAAAAGAACAGAAATAGCTGTTCTCATTATACCCAGACCCAACTTAATTACACTGGTCCAAAAAAACATTTCTCTAATCCCTCAAAAGAGCATGTTTGGACCCTCTCAATTCTTGCATATAATTCACACTCAATCCGCTTCTCATACAAAGTGATGCTGAGTTGCCGGCAGTGCAATATTACAACAGTGTTAAATACTGGATTGATTCTTCCCTTTGCCCTCATGCCATTTAGTTAGGTTGACGCTTCCCAGTGATGTCCCTTAAGGCTGAAATCATACATGACCGCAGGCACATACCAAAATTAGCAAAACATCAACCCCTTACCTTATGACATAGTCAAAAGTCACAAAAGGGCTACATCAATATGAAAGTCAATCAATAATGACACGTAAAGACTTTCACACGATGAGGAAACAGGGATCCATTTCTCTCACCTCATTACTCAGTCGCCAAACACATATAGTATGAACATGTTATGGTGGGAGTAACTCTTCCAAAAGGAGTGACGCTCATCCTCGATACACCGTACAGATATTAAGTCTAGTCGCTTTTCTAGCATCTAACCCGAATTCTCTAATTGCTCGCCTTCTAGGCGCCAAATGGATCTCGCATCTGGACTAATCAAACAGGCACAACATGAAAGTGGCGTACTTAATATCCATGATTTGATCCTTAACACGACCTCATCTGGTTTGTAACCCAAGGCCGACAATATTAGCTGGATTATTAAGGCCTCCTTTGGTCTCCAAATTAAAAATAAACCACTAGTATCATTCCTTTGCCGCTCCCAAACGCCAAAGGGGCGATTTGCTCATGTGCAGTGAGCCAAATCTTGCCTGCTGACATCCATCTGCTAATCATTTATGACACAACCATAATAGGTGTCAACATCCATCATCTCAACTAAGTGATCGATTAAAAAAAAAAAATTGACCACAGCTTACGCAATTTCTAGATTCCAAATATAAGCCTTATCAGCACCTCTTGCGATAAGTATATACAACGGAATCCACTATTGTGCGCCTCACATGAAGTGATTCAGAGATCACAAATCTGATTCCAAACATAGACCTTATTCAGCACCTCTTGCGATAAGTATATACAACGGAATCCACCATGTGCGCCTCACATGAATGATTTAAGATCATACCTCTTGCGCAAAT